AAAAAAAAAAAAAAAAAAGAAACCAAAATTGGGTTTTGACGTGATGAGTATCCCTATCAGAAACCCAAGCACCATTATGGAAATGACCTATAGCTTATTTTTTACTCTAAAGTAGGACCAATGAAGGAATTATTGGCATGCACTAAAGGAGATAGCAAGATGGGTCAGAAACACATATGAGAGTCATTGGCAACACCCGGGTAATGTAAGGTAAGATGTTGACTCTGACCCCTTTCTTGTTTAAGGAGGGAAGGAGTTGGAATGGGTAAAGGCATTCAATACCTGCTACATGCTTGACAGAATGACAGGGAGCAGGTAGACTCATTTAATTAGAAGAGACTTTATTAGAACAAAAGTCATGGCCCTTGTGAGGAGCGAGCCAGTCCTACTACCTCCTCCTTAGTTAAGCCTATTCAGAAAACCACTACTGTGCAACAAGTACACTCGGGACCCTGTTTAGTGCTGGGGAACACTCGGATAAAATCCAGTCCCTGCCATAAAGCAGGCAAATAAGAAACTACAAATCCCGTGGAGCTCTTTTCAGACCTGTTCATGGAGAATATTGGATGCTCGTGGAAAACTTCTAAGGTGATTTGCTTCACTGTGCTATGAAACCAAGCTTTCCCTGCTTTTGGCAGATTGGCATTTCCTAGATAATAAGTGGCCTCTGCACAGGATGGTTTTTGAACGGAAGTGGAGGCCAGGAACTCCTCATCTGTACTCTGAGAATTCTAGATGTAAGCAGCTACCTTAGAAAGGGAAAGGGGAAAGTCAAGGTAGGGCTACCATTAGCTCTGAAAAGTACCCCTCTTAGGACTGGGCATAGCTGCCCTCATCACTGACCCCTCTCTCCTGGAAGAGTCATATGGAAGCAGAGGGAAAGGCTGCAGCACGCAGCTCCCCTGAAGCACACTGCGGGCCTCCACAGGCCATCACAGCTCTTCTGCTCCACTACAGGTGACCTTCCTGCATCTGGCCACTTGATGAAAAGGGTATCTCTCTTTCTCTTCCAAGAGATTTGAATTCCTCCAGAACCTGATTCAGAAAATCTGTCTTTTCTCCCTTTTTCTCTTTTTAAAGGTACAGATTATTCCCTTCTGGAACAGGGAAGAGGGGGAGATAAGCAGGAATCTATTTTATGGCACAGATAACCACCCCTCCATTTCCCTACCTTTCAAGCAAAACAGAGTTGCTCAAACCCAGCTGATGCCATTAATCGACTGAGCAGTGAGTTTTCTGAGACTATGAAATGCTTAAGAGAACTTTAGTAGAAAGGGATTCAGGGGTAGGCAGCCCAAAGTTTCAGAGCCCCGCCCACCCCCAAATTCTTGGAATCAGAAAATGTAGTCTTCCAAAGTAGGTCAGTTTGTCAGTGAGCAGCTCCTCTGAAAAGGAAGGGAGCAGAGGCCTTGTCCTGATAGAGGGTGGATTCATCCAGGGCTTTAGGCTGCTGGGGCCCCAGGGGCACAGGAGGGAGGGGAGGTGGGGAGCCTTTTTGCCGCAGATCTGAAAAGTCTCAGGGCCCTAGAGCAACGCTAGCCTGACACCAGACTGTGCTGGGCCCTCTCGCTGCTGGAAAGGAGGGGGCTGTCAGTCCCCAGATCTAGAGAGCAACCTTCCTCCTGGAGGAGGAGGGAAAGAGTTTGGTGGGGGAGGGGCTTTCTGCCCAATCTGAGAGCCTTGAAGCTGTCCGTGTCCTGGGCCCCATGACCTCTGGGGCCTTGGCTTCCCCAGCTGGCACAGGATTGGGCCTTCCCTGGGGCCCCCCTTTTCTCCCTCCCACCCGCAGGCCCATCCATCTCTCTCTCTCTCTCTCTCTCCCTCTCTCTTGCACACAGTCTTGCCTCTCTCAGGCATTTGTTGTGCAGTTCCTCTTTGTCTGCTGGGCACGAGGGCAACGACATCTGCCTTTCCCTCCCTGTGCACACACCCACCCCCTATCCCCTTCAATGTCTTGGAAAAGGGATGCTGTAGCCTAGCATCTCCCCCACCATACACACATATACATTCTCTCCAGCCCCCTCCCCAAGCACATCCAAGCGTGCTCTCCCCTCTCCCTCTCCCTCTCTCTGTGCCTCTCTCCCTCTCTCTTTCTCTCTCTCTCTCTCACACATACACACACACACACACTCAACACACATACACCCTGGGCTGAGCTGCTCTTGCTGGCTGCAGCCGTGGGCCTCTGCTCACCGTGCTGCTGCTGCTGCTGCTGCTGCCTGCGAAATGACGGCGGGTCCCCTCACTTCCAGGAATCCACGCTTCCTGGAAGGTGAGTGGCTGGGCTCACCCCTGCCTGCCACTGAGACGCAGACATGCATACACCACCCGCACTCCCTCGCCGTTTCCAAGGCGGCGGCCGCGTTCGCACCCCAGGGTCTCACCGGCAAGGGAAGGATAATGTAAGTTCAGGCAGAAGGCGGCTAGTGGAGGGAGGAAGGAGGGTGCTGGGGCTAGGGAGCCAATTCAGTAACAACTCCCAAGCCTGAGGAGATGGAGGGGATGGGGGCTGTGTGTGTGTGTGTGTGTGTGTGTGTGTGTGTGTGTATGTATGTGTGTAGCGGGGGAGGGGGCGTTCCTCCTTATACTTGCGGAGGATGGGAAAGGGTGTTTGGTGTTGCTAAGCAAAGACGGCGACTTGGACAGTGGGAGCCTGTGGTGACATCTTTATTAGGCCTTGGGGATAGAGGTAGAGCTGCCTGGGGTTAAATGCCGAGACAGGCCTGGGTGGGAAGGGGTAGTGGAGAAAATCAAGGTAAGGAAGAGGAGCCTTGGCAAGCAGATGCCTCAGCCTGGAACAGAGATCTGAGGGGCCTCAGCCTCCTCCCCACAAAAGAGCTGAGGATGGGCGTCTTTCTTTGCTCTTGTACCCACTATAATCTGCTGGCAGGCTAGGATCCTGCCACCCTGGAGCCCATGGTCAAGAAAGGGAAAGCAGTTATGATGAGGTCCCTTGCAAGGCAGTGTGGAGGTTCTCCAAGCTCATGGCTATTCCCTAGAGGTAGCCACTATGTGAAGGTCTCGAGGAAAGGCAGCAGGAGCGGAGGGCTAGTCTCCTTTAACATGTGAAACACCTTTAGCTTGTGGCCTGTTTCCCAGTTCCTTTCTCTCCTCCTGCTTTTCAGCCTTTACCTACCTCCCAGTTCCTCTGATGTGAACCTCATGATTTGGCTTTGCCCTCTCAGGGTTTAGCCAATCTATGGTGACTTTGAGCAAGAAAATTTCTCAGAGACCTAAGAGCAGCCTTAATTCTTGGCTTTGACAGTCTGGGATTTCTTGGGAGTCCCAGACTTTGAAATTCCCTCTCTGGGGTTTCTGGAGCTGAGAGAGGAACTGCTAAACTTCCTAAATCTTACTCTAGTACCCGTCACTCTTGAGCTAGAATTGAAAATCCTTGGTGCCCAAGAAAGACTTTCTGACTCCTGAAATAGATTCATTATTATATATTAGCCCCATGAAAGTAGACTTGAGCCTGTTTTTCCTCCTACCTTAATCTTAGAGAGGGCAATAGCATCAAAGAGCCTCTTGAATTACTGGTGTGACTCCTGCTCCTCTTCCTGTTTCTGGGCCTTCATTGGGAAAGCCACAAAGGATGCTTTCCCCTCAGTGTTTCTAAGTGTACTTTTAAATATATTTTCCTCCATATAGCAAATTCCTGGCCTCAAGAGGTAGCCTCAGCCAAATAAGCTGGGACCAGCGATGGATTTCCAACAAGCTCACTCATCCTTTTAGGGTCAAGGCCTCAAAGCCCAGTGCCCTTTTTTCCCTGATTAGTAACATCAAGTGATTTAGGGCAAGTCAGCACTAACATTTGAAAGGGAATAAGAAGATACCCTTTTCAGCCCTTCTAACCCTAGTAAATTCTACACTTAGTTGAAAGGACATATTTAAAACTGGCTCTGAGTCTACAAGTCTTAACCCACAATCCTGAAATGCTTGCTTCATGATATGTGTTTGGTTCTGATTTTGGTCAGCATTTTTAGGTAACCGTGGTTCACCTAAAGAGCCCCAGCTGGGAAAACTCAGATTCAAGCCATAAGGCTTTTTCTATAGATAGTGAACAAATTTCCTCAGGCTTTGATGGGATAGAATGGGGGAAATGGGACTTTAGGAGAGGATATGAATGGGAAATGGTCCCAAAGTCCTGAGTGGTTGTTTTCTTCCCACTGACCAAAGCTGGAGAGGGATCCCTCAGGAGGGTGTGTTCCGGATTTCTTGCCTCAGGCCCAAGACTCCAACCATTTTATAATGGAATCTTTATTTTGTGAAAGTAAGTATGTGCATAGCTGGGCAATTGGGTAAAGTACTAATAGGTGGACTTTAGGGATGAATTTTAGGCTCTCTCTCTCTCCTGCTCTCTTGCTGTCTCTCTTGCTCTCTCTCTCTCTCTTCCATATTTAGGCCTGTGTGCACACATCCATGCATGTTCATGTTAGCAGATAATGTAGAAGGCTACCAGTATGTTTATCCCAGTAGGTATGTTCTCTTTATATGTATCTACATATGTGCTGTGTCTGTGTGTGTTTATCTACCTGTATTTTTATTTCACCTATGTATTTGTGCAGAAGATTGTGGGGAGGAGGGATTTTTTTTTAAAAAGACATTAATATCTTTCTTTAGGTGTGTTATCTGATTTTGAAAAATGTCGTGAAACCCTCGAAAAGCATTTTTACAAAACAATTTATCAAAAAATTAAAACAAATATACTGAGAATAAATTGATCACTTAACTGTCAAGGAATATAAAATAGTAAACATGTGATTGGAATCAGATCAGTAGGAGGCTTTCTACAGCAGCCAAATTTTTGCTGAATTTAGAAAGTCTAAGGGGCCCAATTCTTCCCTACTAAGATGGTGACCCCCAAATGGGTCCATAGGACATGGACGCTTATTGTCTGTGATCTCAGTTCCACACTAGCAGCTATGTAACCTTAGACAAGGAACATAACCCATAACCTTTTCTGTACCTCAGTTGCCTCATCTGAAAAAATGAAGATAATATTAGCACCTACTTCATATAGTTGTGAAGATTAAATGAGATTATTTCAAGTGCATAGAATAAAACCAGTACTCAATATTAACTGCTATTATTATTACTAATATTATCATTAGATTCAGGGACAATTCCAGTTACCTTTCCTGCAGATTCTGAACCTGGTTGGGGTCCTGGAGAGGAACAGTAGGGAAGAATGTCTGTCCTGAACATCTGTCCCTTGTGCGGCCCCCATTTTCCTCTCCGCCCTGGTGCGCCCAGCCCCAGCCCTGCTTCCTGTGGACGTCAGGCAGTGATGCTCTTCCCCTCAGGCCTAGATAAAGGTAGGGTAGGCAAGGCCCAGCCACTGAGCTCACGGAAGGCAGCACCAGGCATCCAGACTGGCGGGGGCGCAAGGTGTGGTGCCCAGCATACAATACTGCCTTGTACATGGCTATGAAGGAAATGTTTGTGAAATTTAACTGAATTTTTTTTTAAAGATTAGGCAATGGATAGTAGATAACTCTAGCTTCAGCTTTACCTGCCGTCTTGTTCTCTCCTCCAAGGTAGCGGGGACTCATCTCTGGAGAAGGAGTTCCTTGGGGCCCCAGTGGGGCCCTCGGTGAGCACCCCCAACAGCCAGCACTCTTCTCCCAGCCGCTCACTCAGTGGTAAGTATAACCTCCTACCACCTCCTGGCAGTAGGCACCCCCATTTGCATTTGGCCTTCAATTTATCTTCTACTGGCAACCATTTCCCCATCGTCTCCTCCAGCTAGTCTCCTGCTCAGTCTCTAAGAGCAATAAGGAGCCCAGTGTCTAGGGTTTTTCTGGCTTCTGAAAGGAGAGTGAATAGTCACCAGCAGACTAGGGTAGAATTAAAAGAGATATGGGTGGGATTGAGATAAACGTTTCAAAGAGAAATTCCAGAATTAGAGAAGCAGGTAGATAGAAATAGTCATCAAGTGGAGTTAAATAGGAAATAGAGGGTAGAAGGACCTTCCCATCTCCTCACACCCCATTCACGTACCCAGACAGGGTCCCCATGACTGCCCCTCCCCAGCTGGCCCTAGATCTGTGACATTCTCTAAATGATTGGAATAGCCAGGAATGTAGGTCGGAGCTAGAGCCAAAGCCTTCTCCTCACTGTTTCCTCTTTCCTTTATCCCTCCTGCCCTGCCTCAGCGTTTTACGGAGGTGGAGGGGGTAGAGGAGTTCAGTCTAATGGGGTGGGAGGGAACTGTAAGTATGTCTGTCTTCCAGTTTGGCTCTCTTTGGCCTGTTGCCTCCCTTCCGTCCTCCTAGGTCTGTTTTCCCGCCACTGTTAACTTGCTGGCTTCCTGCCCAAGGCCAAAGCCAGACATCTTTCTTAATGACAAGAGAGTGGAGAAAAAAGCTCCTCTTAGTCCTCTCCTCTCCTCAGTGACAGAGGACATCCTATGTACCCTCAACTTTCTTTTCTTTTTTTTTTCTTGAGATGGAGTCTTGCTCTGTTGCGCAGGCTAGAGTGCAGTGGCACAATCTCAGCTCACTGCAACCTCTGCCTCCCAGGTTCAAGCGATTCTCCTGCCTCAGCCTCTGAAGTAGCTGGGATTATAGGCATGCACCACCATGCCTAACTAATTTTTGTATTTTTAGTAAAGATGGGGTTTCACCATGTTGGCCAGGCTGGTCTCAAACTCCTGACCTCAATAAATCCACCCACCTCGGCCCCCCAAAGTGCTGGAATTATAGGTGTGAACCACTGCACCCAGCCCAACTTTTTTCTCTTGACACCTATTTGCCTGGTGAGTGGGAGAAAAATTTGTCTCAGGTTCCAGAAGGACTCTGATATCACCAGCAGGGATATTAGAGTATCGGCCCTGTTTAAGGCTTGAATGTCTGAAGGTCTAAAGACACTCTCTTAAATTTTAAGAGTGCCAGTGCCATTCTGGGTTGGGCGTGGTGGGTCATGCCTGTAATCCCAGCACTTTGAGAGGCTGAGGCGAATGGGTCACCTGAGGTCAGGAGTTGGAGACCAGCCTGACCAACATGGAGAAACCCTATCTCTACTAAAACTACAAAAATTAGCCAGGCGTGGTGGTGCGTGCCTGTAATCCCAGCTACTCGGGATGCTGAGGTAGGAAAATCTATTGAACCCAGGAGGTGGAGGTTGCAATGAGCCAAGATTGCACCACTGCACTCTAGCCTGGGCAACAAGAGCGAAACTCCGTCTCAAAAAAAA